TATGTGCTGGAGTTTCATATAAAAATACCAAGAAAGAACATGAATTAACCTTGTTTATGGGAAGAGAACTCCGAAAGGGTAAGAGGCTTTATACTCTATGATATTTAATGACCATCTGCTGTTTGCCTACTCTCCAGCTACTTCAGAACTCCACTCACTGCTGCAACCAAACAGCAATTACAGTAAGAAGACATTTCATACAACGAGCTGGCGATGCCCAGGACAGCCTCCCAGGGGCAGCAGCAGCCCCTGTGCATGGAATATAGGGAAAACCATCACTGTTACGACTGATTCATTCAAGAATCACCTCCCGATCTGCCTGCACTGGGTTGGGATCCTGCAGCACCAGGTTCTGTACAGCCAACAGCCCCACAGCCACCCGGCTCGCAGACACTCAATGAGGAGATACTCAGCAAGGGCTGGGGATGAAAAGGCCATGTTTTGGGGTTTAACCTGTGCCTGATGTGATGAAATATACCTTAGCTTGACAAAGGGGTTTTAAATACGCCAATGTATATGGAACAGACACCCAGAACTCCTGCCCTGAAACTGCAGCTAGGCACCAAGCAAAACCCATCTGCTTGACAATCATGGTTGTGTAACACAGCAATACAATTCACTAGGTAAATCCCTACCGCTCTCAGCCTCACAACAGCACTAACGCTGTGCGCTTCCCTAACCAAAACCCAGGAGAGGGGAGCACACACATACGAACCCTCACGGTCAAAATACCCCCCAGCAGAGCGAGGTGAGCTCCAAACCTGCCCATCGCTCGCACGTCCCAGGCAGCACATCGATTAACGGACCCAAACTACAGCTACACCCCCACAACCACCACAGCCCCGCGCCTCTGTGGCACCTGGGGCACAGGACACCAGAGCGGGCGATCGGTGGCGGCGACCCCGGCAGGAGGCGAGGCCTCAGCCGCTTCACCCCGCGCTAGCGGAGGTCTCTGCTCCGGAGGACCGGCCCCTGGGTGCTCTGACCACCCTCGGCCTCCTCTGTACGGCCACGGCCTGCGAGGGGCCTCCCGGCTCGCTGAGGCGATGGGAAAGGGCCCGGGGCTGAGGTGGGCGCGGGGCTGAGGGGGGAGAGGTAGGGCGGCGGTGAGAAGGGCCCGGGTGCAGGAGCCGGGGCTGAGGGGGAGCCGGGGCTGAGGGGAACGGGGACCCCGGTGCTGAGGGAGCGGCGCTGAGGCTGGGGCTCCGCGGGTACTCACTGAGCCACGACTCCAGGCTCTCCCCTTCCGCCTCCGCCATGTTGCCGGCCCGGCCCCAGGCTCCGCCCCGGCCGCGCGAGACCCGACGGTGGGGAGGGGGCGTGGCCAACCTAAGGACCGCCCCCTCACGCTGCGCTTGGCTCCGCCCCTAAGGGAAGATGGCGGCGCCCATGGCGACGGGCCTGGGCGGGCGGCTACGGGCGTGGCTGCCGCGGTAAGCGGGGCCGGGGCTGTGCGATGGGGTGGTCCCCGGGCCTGGTCGCACACGGGTTGCGGTGCTTTGGGCTGCCGGCAGGGCTCGGGGCAGCCGCTGTGTCGGGGTCTCGGTACCGCGGTTGCTCCGCTCCGAAACGCAACCAAATGCGCGTCCCGAGGCGGATAATGAATGGAGTCACGGTGTAAGGTACTCGCCCCACTGCCAGGGGCACAGAGCGGTGTTTGTTCGAGACACACACAGGCCGGGCCCTCAGGGAGCGTCAGGGTCGGGCAGGGGCCCTGTGCTGTGCCTGGGACTTGGGATCCCACCCGTCCCTTTGGCGTGGCCTGCAGCAAAACTACTGGTTTATGGAATCCAAGAATGGTTGGGGTTGGAAAAGACCTCAAGATCGTCCAGTTCCAACCCTTGCCATGGGCAGGGAAATCTTCACTAGACCAGGTTGTCCAGAACCACATCCAGCCTGGCCTGCAGTGTGCCTTGCAGTAGAAATGCAGCGATGGAGAGGAAGGTGGAGATGTCTCCCAAGTGCAGCGTGTCCATCTGAGGCGTGCTCACCCCTGCCCGCATCCCCGTCGTGACATACTGCGTGTGCCTGTTTACAGCTCTCTTTCTCTTGCTCCTCGCAGGCTGACGCAGGTGAGATGGAGCCGCTACAACCCCAGTTACATAGAGCCAGAGGTGAACAAGGAATTGTACCGGAAACGTCCAGAGGAGCTCACTGAGGAGGAGAAGGAGAAACTGGAGTGTAAGGCTGTTCAGCCCATCAAAGCTGCACCCCCCAGTCTCTCCAGCTCTGTGTTCAGCGACCCTATGATCAGGTCAGAGAAGGCACCATCTCCTGTGGAGCCACAATACCTGTGGAGCTGTGCCTTTATCTGCTGTGCTGCCCTTGCCTTCTGTCACAGCGCAATCCCTTTATTCCAAGTTAATCTTTTCCCCACAAAGCCAGTGACTGGCAGTGATTAGAGATAATCACAGCAGATCCAGCAGCACCCAGACTTAACGACAGGAATGGCACAAAAGGGGTGGGGCTTGTTTCTGTGGGTGATGGAAATCGGTTCACCTTTGGCTTTGTGTTTGCAGCAAATTCACCAATATGATGATGAAGGGTGGAAATAAAGTGCTGGCCAGAAGCCTCATGTCTCAGGTGAGAACTCATATTTCTTCTATTAGGTTAAACCAATACAAAATGGAAGGCTGTAATGTCAAGCTCCCTGGAATAAGGAATTATCAGAACTCAGGTTATCCCTGTGGTCCCTGCACTCTGTTCTCACTGTTATTTACCTGATAAGGCATTTTGTACAAGCTTCAGCCTCATTCAGCTCACAGCCCAGGTGGTGGGAGCCTAATGGAGAACATTCTCTTTCCACTCTTCAGTAGCCCTTGGACCTTATGTACTGCGTAAACTCAGAGAATACTTTTAAAAGCATAATTTTCTCAAATGATCTTCCTTCCAGCTCTTTCGTGCCTTATTTTCTGTATAATTTGCCAATGAAATCTCACAGATGTGTCACAGCTTTGACCCCTGCTCTGACCTACAGTAACTGGTATTAGCTGATGGTCCCATCTGGTCCATTCCATCCTTGAAAGCCCTTGAAACAAGGACACACGGTGCCCAAATGTTCCCCAGTTGCTCAAGTGAAAATGGGGTGCTTGTAAAAGTGATGAACCTTTATGGAGTGGGATAATCCATCTGCTCTGTCTCTTGTCTTTATCCCAAGACTCTAGAGGCCATTAAGAGAAAGCAGCTGGAGAAGTACCACAAAGCTCCAGAAGATGAGAAGGAGACAATTGAATGCAACCCTTATGTCATTTTCCACCAGGCTCTGAAAAACTGCCAGCCCATCATTGGGCTCAGCAACATCACGAAAGGAGGCAAAACCTACCAGGTGAGGGGGGGCCTGGGAGCACATCTGGATGGGAGAGAGTTAGGGAAGCAGATGAACTGGTTTCCACCCCTTCAGCTCAAGCTTTCCTTCCCTTGGAAAGAGGGATGCTTTGCAGTCTGGATTAAAACAGCACCTAGAGCTTTGTCCAAAATCAGGCCCCCAGCCTGTGAGCACGGCAGTTCCCTGTCAGCAATGGTTTCTGCTTCTCTGATAAGGAGGATGCAGCAAATGTTGTCCAAGAAGACAAGAGATCAGTGACAGGCAGCAAACGAATTGGCATTGCAGGACTATGGGTCTCATTCTCTGTGCAGCACCACATTGCTTGGGTAGAGGTCCCAAAGCCCTGGGGCAGGTCAGTGTAGCAGAAAACATCAATTAGATACAGTGGAGGGTTGAAAATGAGCAGAACCTGTCCTAAGTACAAGCTCTGCAACATGGAGACCTGATGGGGAAATAAGATGTGGAGGCATTTCTCTGTCATTCAGTGGAGTAGGGACCATCTCCCATCTCTGCAGCACAAACCAGCCTGGGTCCAGCTCCCAAACAGCCCAGAAGTCCTTACAAAGCCCATTTCAAGGCAGTACCAAGGCTGATCAGAACATCCATTTGGTAGCAGTGGCCAGTTCCTGTGGACAGGAGGTGAATTGGGACAGATGAGCTGCTAGGTGCTGGTTTTACTGCAGACAGCAGCATGGGCTGGACCTGTGCGACTGCTGGAGCAGAACAGGTTCCTGCCCCCTCACAGTGTGATAACTGTTACGGGTTCCACCTTCCCCAGGTGCCAGTCCCTCTGAAGGACAATCGGAAGCGCTTCCTGGCCATGAAGTGGTTGATCACTGAGTGCAGGGAGAACAAGCACCGCCGGACGCTGATGCCCGAGAAGCTCTCCCAGGAGCTGCTCCTGGCCTACAACAACGAGGGGCCCATCATCAAGAAGAAGCACGTGCTGCACAAGATGGCAGAGGCCAACCGGGCGTATGCCCACTACCGCTGGTGGTAGGGACTCTGCATGGGACACGGTGCCACCAGCCCCAGCTCTGCCTGCCTGGGGGCAGCTGGGGAGAAAGAAGAGGGAAAGGAGGAAGATCCCTTCCAGACAGCTTCTGAACTAAGCCAGGGAAAGCTCATCTGATCCCACAAGGTTCCTTTGTGCTTGTTGGGATGGGGAAAGGAGGAATCTGGAGTTACCAACCCCTGCTCTGGTTATTTCATCATCACTTCCCAGTAAAGACAAGCCTTAAGATGTTTTCTTAAAGCAATGCTGCACAAAGTAATCTTCCACTTACCTTTACTGCAAGACTTGTAAGTCTCTGCTCCTGCAATCAGCAATGGTTTTGGCTGCACAGCTAAAAACAGAGCTGGATTTTTGTCACACCACACCACTTTGAATGGTACAAAAGGCAATAAAAGGCCCTTTTTGAGTTGGTTCTGGTCACCAGCAGCATTGTCTGCACAGGTTTGATGGGAATAATAGCAAAATAAAACCAGTTGTATGGGAAAGGTTTCTCAAGTCCAAGCCTTTGTTGCTTGACTCTCAGACTGCTTTTTCCAGTAACCCTGGTTGTACAAAGCCTTGGTGACACCCTACACCCGAGGACAAAATGAGTACTGAAGCCTTAAGTCAGGAGTAACCTTTAAGTAAAGCCCAGCAGCTGCGCAGACAGAAAGCAGGGCATGTTAGTGGAAAACTTTTATTAGAAAAAATCCTTCAATAGACTATTTTGTTTCTTTTCTTCTATTGTAAGAAACATTCCAGAGTTGAAACTCCCTAAAGTTGGATAAAACAGGACAGTTGTATAAAACTTACAAAACCTGTGCCTGGCCACATGTGCTCAGGGACCTGCGCATGTAGTAAAGAACTACACGTGAGTAGTTGGGTTCTCTAGAACCAGCTACTAGAGCCCTGTGGCAGGTACTCGTGGCTGTGTGCATGCAGGTGCTGGAAGGAGCCTGGGAAAAATAGCACTTGGTTGAGCTGTTTGTGAGGCCACGGTGTTTTGTGTGACTTGTCCCGGAGAACCGGGTACAACCTGAGCTGGGATTGATTTCCCCTCTGCTTCCCACAGCCCTTGGATAAACCAAAATGTCCTCAGCCTAAATTGTGCTTTTAACACTCACAAAATGCTGGTTTGAGCTAGAAACTCAAAGCTTGCCCTTTGCTGGCAGCAGCCCAATGTCAGCCAAAATCAATGGGAGAGCTCCTGGGTTAAATGTGCCCTTCCCACCTCTCCCAACCTCCAAAGTCAGGTTAGTGCCAGTTGCAGCCTGACAGAGTGCCCAGAGGCTCTACCCAATAGAAGCCCTATTTATAGGAAGTGCTAGAAGAACATTAATGTGAAAGGAAACTCAAACTTGGTATGAAGCTTGCTGGTGAAGGTGCTGGGGACATCTCCCCTCTGCTGCAGAGCTTAATCCGTCACTTCGCTGTAATAGTACTTCTGGGCAGCATCCGTCATCTTCCAGTCGGCAGCTCGGAACTCGATGATCTCCAGCAGCAGGAGCTGGGACAGGGAGCTCAGCCCCTCCTGCAGGAGGAAACCATCCCGGAGGAGGGAGAAGAGCTCATCCATCCGCTGGGAGTTCATCTTCTCCAGCTGCTCGCCGATGCGGTGGAGCTGTAGGACCAAGCAGTCCACCTTCAGGAGGAAGAGATGAAGGGAATGGAGAGCTCTGGCACATCTGTAGAGGTTCCCCTCAGTCACTTATGGACCAACTCATCCCGTTTCCTCTGTTCTGGAGTTCCAAGAGGTGATGGTTATGCTTCCCCAAAGTTGCTGTGAGCAACTGCAGCTGCCTGCCACCACCTCCCAGTGCTGCAATGCCTCAGCACACCAGTGTGGCAGCTGCTTTTCCAGATGTCCACCAATTGGGAATGCTGGAAAAGCAGCTGGTTCTGTGAGAACGGGGGAATCATCTGTGTTTTTCTCACATGATGGGGCTGAACCTGTGTAGCACCAGACAATCCCTGCTTCCAGCTCTGCTGCTGGATCTACAGTGATGACATTTTGGCAGTGGGGAGGAAAGCTGCTCCAAGGGAGGACGTGCAGCCTGGGCAGGGGAGTCAGAACCAGCACCTCCATCCTGCCTCCTCCCAGGCTGCAAACCCTTCTTCCAGCACATCCCAGGAGGCAGCTCTCCCTCCTGCATCCCCCCAGGCTGTGCCTGTTGCTGGTTCTCAGCAGGACCCAGGCACATCAGCATCCCTCTTCCCTGCACTCACCTCTTCCTCCTTGCACAGGCTGTCGGGCTGTGCCAGCCGGAACAGACAGTCATAAACAGGGTTCACCAGAGCCATCATAGGCATGTTGTTCACCTGAAAGGAGGCAGAAGCCATCATCAGCTTGGGGGCAGAAAGGGAGGAGTCTGCAGCTATTCTATATAGCTGTCCCCGTGCTGCTCTTCAAAGGAGAAGGGAGCAGCATTCATTCGTGCTGCTGAACTGTGTACTGGTGGGATTCCTGTAGGAGACCAGACACTTGAGCCTCCAGGAGCCAGAGAAGCTGAACAAATGATGTGAAAAACACCTATTTTTAAATAGAAGCAGGTAATCATGGGAAATGCACTTGTTGCAACAGCGTTTTCCTGCCTGCAGCTCTGCTTGCATCAAATTTACATCTACTCCAAGCACACACACTGCAGCAAAGGTTTGCAGACAAGCTCTGTCAGTACATGGGCTAGTAATTATATCAGCACCCACAGGTCCACCCAGGACTAAACCAGTTCAATCTGGGACATCTGGGAGCAGGCAAAACAGGGGCTTTCAAACACCAGGTACAAAATGGGGAAGCTCAGACTTTGTGATTGTTCCCGGAGAGGGCTCTGCCTCTCCAAGCCTGTTTGCTTGCCTGTAGGTATCACAAGCTCCAGCAGCATCCTTGTGCTGAGAACCGGCTCTGGCTCCCACTGCTGAGCCACGGCCCTGGGCTCCATTCAGCACCCATCCACCACCCCAGCCCTGGCAACTCTGGACACCCAGGCCCCTCTGGCACCCCCAGGCAGCAGCCTCAGCTCCTGCTCCTCACCCTCAGGTAGTCGAAGATGTTGCAGATGAAGGTGACGTAGCAGATCCAGGCCTGGAGCGAGCGGGTGCGCAGCTCCTCCCGGTCCTTGTACTCCTGCTGCAGCCGGTTCAGCAGGCTCCTCCGGAAGATGCTCTGCCCAACTTGTTTGCTCTCTGCCTATGAGCCCACAAAGCAGGATGGAGGCATGAACTGGGGGTGTGAGAGGGGCAGGGGGATGCTGCTCCTTGGGGGATGCAGGACCACACAGATACCCTCCTGTGACTGCCCCCAGAGGCAGGAAAGCTGCAGCCTGTGCTCACTGCTGCTCATCTGGATGCTGCCACAGCAAGGGGCAAGCAGCAGAAGAGCTGAGGGGTCATGGCACAGGGCTGGGGCAAAGCCTCTCCTGGCCCAGCCCAAGGACCAGACACGAGGAGCTCTCACCTGGATGATGGTGTAGCAGATGCGCCCTGCCTCCTTGCTGAACACACAGTCTTTGAGGGACTGGTCCACTATGATATTGGCCACTTTCTCCAGGTCCACGTTGCTGGGGTCTGCAAAGAGGAGAAGCACTGTCAGGAGCCAGCACCCTTCATGTCCTGCTTGCTTTGGAGTACCTAGAAAGCAATCAAGGTCAGTGTGGGTCCTGGTACAACCATGTTATAGGGTGCAAAACCTCACGCTTGCTCCCACATCAAGAGTCCCAGCCCCTTCTCACACACCAGCTGCTTTGGAGACACCAGCTCCAGTGGTGCATGGTCCTCCCAGGCTGGAGACACAGCCATCATGATGGGAAAGTGATGGAAAAGTGATGGAAAAGGCAGATAATACTGGAAGCAAGTTGATCTGAATGTGAAATCCCAGCACTGCTTCAAAGCTGGGTTAGTGAGAGCCAGATGGGCAAACTCCTGCAGGGCTTTGACCAGTGAGCAGGAGATGACCCCACAGCATGGAGGGACAGTGAGCAGGAACAGGGTGCTGGAGAGGGATGAGAGGCCAGGCCTGGGCAGAGATGCTGAGTTAGGGCAGGAGAGGGGGTACCCCGAAATCAGAATCCCAGTGATGAGAACCAGGAGCTGAGTTTGAACAGCAGCACCATTAAACACTGGGGAGAAGGTGAGAGGGGGTAAAAAGAGGGGGGAGCAAAGACCTTCCTGGAGAAGATTCACCAACAGGACCCAGTCAGGGATGATCAGTGTTCGTGGAACAGCTCTTCTACACTGAACACTGTGTGTTCCTTACAGGGGTCCAGCCTCACGTGCATGCCAAACTGCAGCAGAGGAGTAAGTACAAAGCCTGCTGACCTTTGAGGGCTGTTTTCAGCAGCTTCTGTGTCTCGGCATCAAATGACTGTATTTTATATTCTTCTTTGCCTGTTTCCCCCATGACTGGCTTCCTCCAAGGGCAAGAGTCAGGGCACTGGATGGGCTAGTGTCAGTCCCTGGGGAAAGAACACACACACAGCATAGTTGGTCAGAGGCAGACCTTCACCCAGCCATTGGCAAATCCCATCTGGTGCTGGTGCACAGGCTGTTATCATGACAGCTCCCACCAGCCCTACATCTGAGCAAAGTCTTCCTCCACATCCTTTTAAGCCTTGTTTCCTATGACAGGACTTAATCTTCTGAGCCTTTATGTTCTTCTGGTATGAAATGCGTTGCAGCCTGTTGATCTGCAGGTTCACAGGGCACAGCACACCAGGACAGCCCCAAAATACACCTATCTCGCCTCGGAAGGCTTTATCACAGGGGGACACACACAGGAGCACCCAGTGCAGCCGCTCCCTGTGCCTTTAACACACCAGCTCAGCTGGTGTCACACAAAAGCCTGGGAGGAATCCAACCCAGCACCTAAGGATCCAGAGCAGCCCCTGCACCACAACCAGGCTCCCTCATCGAGACACAGCACGCTCTGCAACCAAATCCCCACCAGCTCCTACCCCATCCCATCCCATCCCACTGCAGCCAAGCACAGCTCTATGCAGGACCAGCGCTGCTCCTAAAGAGCCTCCAGATTAATTTGCTGCTGCTTTGTGATACACTAAAGACAGCACAGAGTTATGGCACAGAGAGGAAGGGCTTCTCTAACACACACACACACACACATACAAGATGAGCTGCTCAACACAAACTGCTGGGCTGGCCAGACCCACAGCACACACATGGAGAGGGCACTAAGCCAAATGGGTTTTGCCAGCTTGAAATTCCTTTGCTGTTACTCATCCCTCACTGCAAATAGGTCCTGACAGGGATTAAAGCCAAAGAGCCCATCGCCCTTTGGAAGCATGGGGCACATAGACACAGTACCTCGGAGCAGAGAGCAGTGGGTAGAGGCTCTGCCCTCCCCTCCTGCCCCATGGGGTGACAACAGCCAACACTGCTCCCACAGCCAAAGCTGCCACCTACACAGGGTTACCTGCGGGACCAGCACTGAAGTCTCTTTCCCAGATGGATTCACAAGCAGCTCTGTGCCCTCCGTGCCATGCCTGGGTGACAAACACCTTCCATCCGGCCTCTCCAGCCCCGGGTCCCAGCAGCAGCAGCAGCATCGCTGTGCTGAAGGAACCTGGCGACAGCTCAGCGCCGCACACAGCGAAGCTGAAGCGCCCGAGCCCGTCCGGCAGCGTCTGTCACCACCGCCCAGCGCCGCTCCCACAGCATCCCCGCAGCTCCCCGGGGATGGGCAAGGCTGCTTGGAGCTGCTGTGCCAAACAACCCTGCCCCGAGTGCAAACCAGCCAGGACCACCGTGTGCGAAGGGCTGGTGGCAGTGGGTGACTCCAGGCACAGCATCACCCGCGGGTACCAACTACTCCAGTGGTCCCCACTAGACGAGCTATCCTGGGGACTTGTGTGGTTGGGGTTGGTGTCCTCGACCGGCTGCGTCGCAGCGCGTCAATCCCGGTGGGAAGGGCAGGACGTGCCGCGGCCACCACAAGCAGAGGGCGAAGAGCAGCGAAGTCTCCTCCGAAGGGCACAACCACCTCGGGGACCCCCGTCCCATCCCCACCGATGGAGCCCGCAGCACCGGGACCCCTCTGTGCCCGGGTACCCCCCGCCGCCGCCTCGCCCCAGCCCCGCGACCAGGGCAGGGCGGGGGGAGCCGTGCCCAGCGCCACCGACCTGCCGGGCCGCCCCGCTGGCTCCTCCGGCCGCGGGCGCATCGCGGGAGCGCCCCGGGCCCCGCCGCGGCCCCGGTTTCCTCTTAGGTCATTTCCTCGCCCGAGCCGGGGGAGGGCCGGGCCGGGCCGGGCCGGGCGAGACGCGGCCGCCGCCGCAGCGCCACCGCCTGCGAGCTCCGGGGCACCGCGGCTCCCCCCCGGCCGCACTTCCCGGTGTGTCCCGGTCCCACGTCGGGAGCACCGCCCGGGCCCCCGCAGCTGTCCCGCTGCGAGCCGCGGTCAGTCCGCTCCCCCCGGCTGTGGAAAAACACATGGGGAAAATATGAGGGGAGAGGCTTTAAAGCAACTCACTGCAACGGGAGCATCCTCATCGCTTCACTCCCAACTGTGTCACCTCCTCAAGGGGAAGGCTCGGCAGCACTTAGACAGGAGCAGAGCAGCCAGGAACAGCTCAGGAAACCAGAATGAGTGGTTTGGGAACTTTCCGGCTCGGTACAGACCAAGCCAGGACTCATCCACCACGGTGTGGGGCTCCCACCCATGAGCTTCCGCTTGACCCTCTGGGGCACAGAGGTGGGACTGGGCTGGAGATCCCACTCCACTGATCCCCCTGGGTGCAGCTATACCCAAAGCATCACCCCATTATCACAGAGGGGATGGGATGGCTCCCAGGAGCCAGTGATGGGGAAGGAAAACCACACCTTCCTACTGCCCCGCACCATGGCCTGGCTGTCCTCCCCCAGGGCAGGAGGGGGGCACAGCGATCCTATGGGATCCACCCGAATATTCAGGAGGGAAGGAATAAAGGAACTGTAGCCAGACGGGAGCATAACAAAGTATTTACTGTACCTTGCCTCAAAGGTAGCACACATTGTGCTCGGACACCTTCCAACAGCAGCTGCAACAGATCCACTCAGGAAACACAACAAAACACCTCAGACAATCCAACTACATCACATGAGAAACTTAAACCCAAACTAAGAACTATCTATTCCAAGCCTGACTGTCAAACATCCATTTCTTTTCACAAACCACCCTCTGGAGGAGCATTCCAAGAACAGTGTCCCAGGACTCACTGTTGGAGGACACTGTGTCCATCACAGAACTTGTGCGTCTGCGTCCTCCTGCCTGAGGCCAGCTAAGAGCAACAACCACAGCACAGCTGGGCCTTCCCTGCTGAAGTCCTTTTGGATGTTCTGATGGTGTAAGGCACTATTAGAAAGCTAACACAATCACAGGCAACGCAGATCCCCCTGAAAGGATGACATCAGAGGGAAATCCCAGCCATCCCAATGGGAAAAACCTGGCACAGATTGACAGCAAGTCACTCACCCTGTGGAGTATCTGAGAGCAGATCTGTCCCCCATAACAGAGAACAAGGTGACTGCAGATCTCTCCTATCTCCTGCTCCTCAAATTCAAGGAAATGGCTTCAATCAGCATCACAAGTAAGACCTGTCCTCCTAGTGCTAAATCAGTCATTCCCAAAGAGAAAACAACAAACCAGGCTGTGTGCTGAAGCTCCTGACCAGGAGTGTCTCTTCCACAGACTGGCAGCTTCAACTCCACCTTTGCCATCTGTTGGATGGAAGCAAGTGTATTTAATGCAGTGGAGGAAAAAACTATCCCAGAAGGAAAAGCTCCTCTGCACCCTCCACTGCTGCTCTCCATGCACAGCAGCCAAGTTACATGCCCCTAGAGCTGCATCACCTTAAGCTCCACAGAACACTCAAGGAGCACTGTCTCCGCAGTCTTTATTCTTTACCCCTATGACAACCAAAGCAACTCCCCCCCCCCCCCTTCCAGAGGCTGCAATTCCCACTGCCGAGTCCTCACCAGTTTCCCCCTATTTTGTGCAGTTTAACAGCAGCTCTTTGATATAAAGTGAAAAACAAAAGAGTCTTGTAAGGTTTACACAGGATGGATGAGGCCTGATTTCCTATGGGAGCCTAAGAGAGCACAGAAACCTGCTGTGGCCAGTCCTGTCCCTGCTACCCATGACAGCATTCCTCTGTACCAGCAGCCAAAAGCCAGTAACAATCCCAGCCTGTCTGACTCTGCTTCACAATGAGATGTTTCTCTCATTGGAAGGATGGCATGAGGGTAAGTCCATCACTGGCTGTGATGTCTTTCCAAGAACAAGAGATGAACAAGAAACAAAGGCAAAATATAGTTAAGATTTGGGGGGAATCTCAGCTTAAATAACACAGGAAAATGCCACTCAGATTGAGGCACTTTGAGACACTTTACTCCACATTCTTTGTACTAACTCCAATAAGCAAAACTACGCATTTTTGGAGTACATGCAGCTAATACTCCCTCTTTAACGCTCCTGTATGAGCCTCCTGCCTGCCACCACCACTGCTCAGTGGATTTAAATTCAAACAGTTCTCAAAGTCACCTGCAAACAGCCACTTCACACTCCAACATCTCAAACCACAGCAGACACCAAGTTATTTGGCCTGGGCTTGCAAGGAATCTCTCTGGCTACCTCAGATACCAGTGAAACAGCTGCTCTTCAGAACCAGCCTCTCACAATAGCACAGGATAAGGGAGCAATGCTGATATGCTCAAAATTGCCAGAAGTTGCATCAGAAGAATGGAACTGGTCACGTTGGAATGTGGCCAACATCTAGGATTAACACCCTGGATACTGCAAAAGAGCCATGGGAAGCTCTGCATGAAGAGAAGAGCTATCAAACCATCCTCTAAATAACAGCAGTGCTCTGCCCCATCCACCTCTCACCAGATGACTGACAGGCTTTTGTATCACAGCAGCTCTTCCTCAGAGTCTGCATTCTGTAACTGGTCCAACCACACCCTGCTCAGCCTGGAAAAACAGTGAAAGAGGAGGAAGAAAGCAATTTCCCTCTTTTCCCTGTTACGTAAATCAGAGCTGCTGGGTCGTTGTTTTGTTGGGTTTTCAAAGCATCCCTAAAACCTCTGAAACTGCAGAACATCACTTCCCAGGCTCTAATTCCATCACCCTTTCCTTGTCAAACACCATTCTGAGCCAAGCAATTTCCATCTGATGCTCAGTCCTTTCACTTCAGCTTAGCTTGTCAAAACACTTTCAGCTATTAGCACCACAGGAGGAGTGAGATTCAGAAAGGTTTTCAGCAGATACACTTGCTGGAAACATTCAAAGGTGGTATTAAATAATAATAATAATAATAATAGGTATTTACTAGTTTCCACAGGACTTTTCCTTCATTATTCCCACTTAAATATTTCTAGAACTCTACACAGCATTTGGTTACTCACTGCATTGAAGCAAAGAACCCTAAAGAATAGGGCTTGTGCGTTGAATTCCCTTAGAGAGGAGTTCTTAATCTGCAGATTGAACTGAAAAAGTGTGACTGAGGCAATGCAGAACCCCAAGCGATGTGTGGTAAGACGTGCAAGAAGAGAAATGGGCACTTTGGATACAATCAAGCTCATCAGAGTTAAAAGAGCAAGTCTGGGTGTGATCCACCAGAAAATGCTGTGTTTCAGGTGGCTGATTCAAGTGGTAAGCAAGAAGCAGCAGCTGGCAGCAAAGAAAAGGAAAACTGAGGTTCTGTGACACTAAGAAGGTTTGAGTTGACTTCACAACAGCAGCAGAGCTGCCTGTGCTACACCAAGGAAAGAACACAGTGCAAACAGCAGTCCAGAGAGCAAGGAAACACAGCTGTGCGGATGTAGCCATAGGAAGTGGTGTTAGGTTGGATAAGCAGCACCAGCTACACCAGGATCCCAATTTGTGATCCAGGGCAAGCACAGGAATACACCCGCTTCAGCAGGTGCCTCTTTACAGCAGGTAGTTTTCTGCTTTGGTTCCCCCCTCTCTCCACTAAATGCGTGCTGATATTAGAGGAAACAGAGGAAAAAAGTGCTCAGTTGAACAGCTTCCAGCAAAGCAGTTCAGTGTCTTCAGCAGAACTGCAGCTGCCTTCTCCTTCTGCTTGGTCCCAGGAGGTGATTTCCTACAGGCTGATGGAGCTCTGGGAACTCTGACATTCCCAACGTGCTCATGACAGAGCAAAGCCCATCAGTTTCCCCTCCTCTAGGAGGGCCTCAGGTAGCCACAGACATGACCCTTTCAGCGTTCCTTCCTTGCAATGCTATCGGCAGTCTTCAGGGAGCACAGGAGGCTGCAGAACAGCTCATACCAGAAGAAGGTAAGGCCAGTAGAGACAGCAGCCTTCAGCAAGCTGGGTGAGAGGCCCTTAAAGAATCCACTCGGGCCCTCCTCTCGCATGATCTGCCTTATGCAGTCCAGGAGACCGCTGTACACCCGCACCTGGGAGAGAGATGGCAAAAAGGTTAAATAAGGAAACTCCAGGACAACTTTACCTGGAAAAGAACACTGAGATCCCCAAATATCCCACAAAAATGGGATGTTTTTCTGCTATTATAATGAAATGCCTTTCTGGCTATTATAATGAAATGATTTGAGAGCCAGTCCGTAGCAAGTGGGGTGGAAGAAAGCCATGTGTTTTGCATCAGCAATGACTTATGCAGATCATTCTAATTGAGTGCCCCTAAAATCTTCATGCTGCAACCACAAGTATTATTCATGGTACAAGTTTATGCAGTGGTTATTTCAGGTTGTGCTGCTGTTTTCCATCTCTTTCACTCTCTAAAAAGGGACTTTTCCAGTTTCCTGACAGAAAGAAAACACAAGCCTCAAAAATAGCCATCCGCATGTCATCGTGTCCCAGGGAAGTTTTAACATCTTGTGACACATCAGCGCTAAGAACAACTTCTGAACCTTACTGGAAAAGCATCCAATGCAATGGGTTAAGACTTCAAGTTCTTATCTCTGAGTTTCTTGCGGTACAGACTGATCTGCTTCTCAGATCCAAGGAATTTGAAGGAAAAAAAGACATTTTCCACATGTCATGTGAAGAAAGAGAGAGTTACTTGAAGGATCTGTATTTGTCTTACAGCATTATTTCAAAGTGAAATACACTGTAAGACAAACAGAGCACAGAGGAAGGTGCTAAAGAACACCAGAGGTATTTAATGTCCTTTGAATTTCAGGATGTTCTGGTACATAAGACATATGCTGAACACTTGGTGCCTATTCCTTGTGTCAAAATATTAACTGCAGAAGAGGATCCTGACAGCCAGGTGATCCCAGCATAAAGCCAGTGTCATCCTCTGCTAGGAATGCAGTCCTGAATCAGAATTACCAAGCTGCAACTAGAAACTAAGTATACCAACCCCGTTTCCTGCTTCAATGATCCCCAGCTTCAAGACAACCAACAGACGGAGATGGGCAAGAGCAAGTTCACGAGGAACTCCTAACCCAAATACGAACACAAGAGGTACCACTGGCGAATCATCATTGGTGGGCTGGCCCTGGATTATCTCACAAATCCATACTCTTAAAAATCAGGGAATTCCTACATTTTTCACCTGCCCAAAGGCTGCCCGGGCCTGCTCAAAGCCACGCACTTGCAGTCGCTTCTTGAACAAGTCGAAGGGGTAAGTGAGGGTTTTGCTGATGATTCCAGCACAGCTGCCACAAACAAGGTTTTTAACGTTGCCTGAGAAGCAGAAAGGGGAGACAGGAGGGGAAAAGAGGATTAGCAGGGAGTTTGCATTAAAGATCATGAGACTTCAGTTAAAGATCTCTTTGCACAAGAAGGTCAAAAAGGCCCTTTTTGTGGGCCACAGAACCTCAATCTACATCTCTACATCTGGCCTGCAATGTCTTCTGGGGCCAGAGTGTAACAGCTCATCTTGGTTCATTGCACTCATCTTGCTCTGCTCTGCCAAGTGGCTTAACACAAAAAACCCCAGTCACCAGAGAACCTGCCACTAGTGGATGAAGCTTTCCTGCCCCAGTAAAAGCCCAGTCACTGGAAATCTTGCAGTCCTGACTGCTCTGACTTATTCTGGACTGGATTAAGTCACAAGCTGGCATTGCCTGATGAGTTCAGAGGCTTGTGAGAAGTGAGTTTTGGGGCATTAGACTTCTTCCTGACAAACCTAAGTTCCCAGCACACAATCACCATCAGCCTCTGCCATCTAAAACTAAACATGCAGACATGATCTTGGAAAGTCTAGATCCTCTACTGAAGAAATTCCATCCAGGAATAAGAACATGCTGATCCTGCATACACTCTTTCCCAAGGAGGCACCAGTACCTAAAACTGTCAAGGTGAAAGGCTGCATCAGGATGAGATTCTCTTATAAGGGAGCTAGGAAGCATCATAAAAATATCAGGTCAAGAGCTTGGCAGTTTTAAATGAGGCTGAACGAATCCTCTTCTGGAACAGCTGGACTGGAAACTCAGGCAGATTTCCTGAGGAAATCCAAGAGTCCCACCCCCATAGCACTAAAGGAACGGAGGAATTGAATAGAAACTAATGGAACAGACACGTTACTGTCTTCCCATGGGATCAGTAATGTGACACAGCTCGAGAAGGAGTATTCGAGTCTGTGACACATCACTTTCCCATCCATCCACATTTCCATCATGGTTATTCCATAACAGGAGCTGTCTGTAAACTTCACTGTAAACTGTCTGTAAACTTCACTGTACTTACTTTGGCACTATCTGTGCAGGGGTAAGAATGAGAGATGGGCAATTGAGGCAATTTTACATTGAAAAGGTTGACAGGACAGAAAACTGAGCTTATGTCAGTCTCCCAAAGTAGCCTTCATCCTTTCTCTCCCCCATCATCAGACATCACTGTCCCAGGTGCCTACCTCCTTTCTTTCCTTCAGCTGGAATCACCCATTCAGAAACCTGTTGCAGGATGTTGTAGAAGGAGAACTGGAGACCAGCATTTGGGAAGACAGCAATGATTGTGGGGGTCAAACCTCTATAGAATGTCCGAGGTCCCTCTGTCTGGTACATCGTGACCACTGCGTGGCGAAGGTTTTGGTAGATCTAGGCAAGAAAGAAGAGGCTGATTCTCTGATGGAAAAGGCTTAAAACAACAAACAAAGGGGCAGGTTATTTCCCAGTGCCCAAAATACATCTGACTTTCAGCACAAAGCAATGAACAAAGTGATTTTGCATATCACACGGTATTTTCAGCTCAGCCCTATGACTCTCATAAGCTGACAACCTAAACCTGCCTCTGGGCTACCAGAGACTAACTTAATGATCCTTAGCTTTGCACTGGGCTGACACTGTATCCCACATGCAAGTTGTGCTGAGGGGAAGAAACAAGGCACAGAGCTGAGGCCAGAGACCACTTGCCTCAAAGACAAGATTATTTTTCTCTTAACAGCTCTGCTTGCTCCTGCAACAGAATTCATGTAATATGTATTGTGAGTCTACTGCAGGCTAATGGCTCTGATACAAACACATATAAATCTAGTTATTACAGATCTAATTAGCATGGAGACCAATTCTTGCATAAACAAGAACACGAAATACAAGTGAAAGGTGACTGGTTTCAGGTCTCATCCCCATCATTATCTAAACACGACTCTGTGCAAGTAGAAAGTTTAAAACCACAATGTTCAACAGACAGAGGAGTGTATTTATAAATGGCCAACAGGGCAGATGAAAATGGACTTATCCTGGCAAGGACAGTTTCTCCTTTCTGGATCATCTGTGAGGGGTCAAACACGAATCAGGAGCAGCAAAACATAATTAAGAAACCTTTGTCAACAGCACAGAGGATAACTTGGCAACAGTACAGACACTGCCCAATAACAGCACCGGCTTCTTTATGCTAACCCCCGGGGCCGTTATGTACTTTTCAAACCTCCTATTTTCCCACACATGGAATATTGCTACTGCTATGGAAGATAATCCCAAACACACACAGATCCCTAAGCCATACCTTAGGCTCACCCTGAGCAGCTAAGCGGGTGCGTAGCGTGTCAAGAGGCTGCACTGCCACAGTGGCTGTGCAGGCAGACAGCCCACCGCAGGTGAAGTGCACCAAGGAGTCGCGGGCGCCGTAGGAGGTGACGTTGTGTGCCAGCCGCGTCATGTTCTCGAACACCATGAACTGGCAGGAACAAGCACACACAGGTCAAGGAGTCAATGCTTATCGGTGACATGGATCTCCCACTCCTCTCTCATTTCACCCGGATAGCTCCACCCACCGCCTGTAACCACCTTCTCCCTGTGTCCTTCAAAAGTCCTTCCCAACTTGCAGCTGAGCATGTGTGTGCTCAAAGAATCAGGTGTAAAAACCACTCAGCAGCCCAGGGAATGCTCAGCACAGTCTGTGCTCTGACATTTGTGCTAAGTCTTGCAGTTCGTACTGTGAAAAAGCTCATTTCAGTGCTCTGTGTATCCTAAAGTGTTTGTTATATTACAGACACACCGTGCATTCCTCTTTCAACCACTGCTCACAAAACGTGCTGTTAGTAGTTACAAATGAAGCATAACAATGCGGTTTAAAACATCATCAGCAGCCTAATGTCTTCCTTACAAGCTGTTAGGGACACATGAACAAAAGCAAAACCACTACACAGGTTTGGAACATGAATGGGTAAGCCAAGTGTCAGGAACGAATGGGGTTATCTGTGACAGCAGATACAGACAGAACTCGGTCTGCTCTATCTGTGCTCCAGCTTCAACAAGCTCAGGAATTAGAATCATAGAATAGTTAGGGTTGGAAAGGAGCTTAAGATCATCCAGTTCCAAACCCCCTACCGTGGGCAGGGACACCTCACACTAAGCCATCTCACCCAAGGCTTCGTCCAACCTGGTCTTGAACACTGCCAGGGATGGAGCATTCACAACCTCCCTGGGCAACCCATTCCAGTGCCTCACCACCCTCACAGAAAAGAATTTCCTCCTTATATCCAATCTAAACTTCCCCTGGTTAAGTTTTAACCCGTTACCCCTTGTCCTGTCACTACAGTCCCTAATGAAGAGTCCCTCCCCAGCATCCCTATAGGGCCCCTTCAGATACTGGAAGCTGCTCTGAGGTCTCCACGCAGCCTTCTCTTCTCCAGGCTGAACAGCCCCAACTTTCTCAGCCTGTCTCCATACAGGAGGTGCTCCAGCCCCTGATCATCCTTGTGGCCCTTCTCTGGGCTTGTTCCAACAGTTCCATGTCCTTTTTATGTTGAGGACACCAGAACTGCACACAATACTCACGGTGAGGCCTCACAAGAGCAGAGTAAAGGGGCAGGATCACCTCCTTCGACCTGCTGGTCATGCTCCTTTTGATGCAGCCCAGGATATGGTTGGCTTTCTGGGCTGCGAATTATCCATCAGCAAGATACAGCTGCACATCTTTACATCAGTAAAGTGCAACTCTGGAGCTGCCTGCATCACGTGCATGCATCCAGCCTGAAGAGGAGCAAAGTCAAGTCCTATGTATGTGCACTGGGCCCAGGGGATGGCTGGTCACCTCACCTGAACAGCTCCATAGCCAACGGAAAGCAGCTGAGCAGGAACATGGCCCTTCCAGAAGGCGACCAAGCCCTCTTCCCGGAAGATGCGGCGTGCAGCCTGCAGGATGCTGTGGTACTTCGCCCCTGGGTTTTTGGAGGACAGCTGCTCGATCTGAAGCTGGAGGAGAACACAGAGAAGGTTTGCTCTAATTCCACACCAGGTCTCAACAAGTTCCAGCATTGCCTTTGGGAATTCACAGCCCTGAGAGCCAAGCAATGCCCTCCCATGGACTCACACCTAGAGGTGACTGGGATGTTGTTTATGTAGGGCTCTAAAAGAATAAAGCCACACGTGCAACACAAGATAATCAGTAGGGAGGATGGTGAAATCCAGTTAGATAGCGAAGATGATTCACTCATAAAGACAGAGAAAGAAAACAAACTATAAAAGCCACAAGGTCCCATTCAAACACTCCAGTTCAGTTATATAAATAGTAGTGGACACGGGATAGCCCTGCTACCTTGCATAACCTGTACACCATGAGGTGAGGGCCGAGGAGCAGCGTTAGCACTCTCTGGGTGCCCAAGTGACCTATTCGCCCAGGCCATGCCCTGTAAGGGGCTCCTTCACCCCGAGCACGCCGTGAGGACCCTACCTGGAACCGGATCTTGATGACATCCAAGGGACTGATAAGGAGCCGGGTGACGAAGCCAGACGCTGACCCTGCTGCAGCCGCTTCCGCCGTGGAGACGCAGCTGGAGCCGGGGTCATAGCCGACCATGCCTGCCTGGAGCCCCCGCAGCCTGCCCGGGAGAACAGGGGCTTTGGTGAGCCCGCCCCGGACACGCTCCGTCCCACAGCCTCACCCCCTCACACAGCCCCCCGAACCCCACACCGCTCCCCCTGGGCACACGCTGAGCCCCGCGGCACGCACCGGAGGGGAGCACGGAGCCGAACCCCAACCCCGTGCAGGGCCCCCGGCCGCAGCCCGCCCTCAGCCCAAGGCCCGCCTCAGCCGCCCGGCGCCGCACTGCGCCTGCGCGCCGCGGGGGGTGCTGGGACGTGTAGTCCAGCGGTGGTAAAATGGCGGGCGGCGGTTCGGGGCACGGCCCCGCGCCCCCAAGGACGGGCGGATGGCATTGGGATGAACCGGGATTTAGGCGGTTCCTGCAGCACGGCGCCTGGTGGGAAGGGAGGACATCATGGAGACAAGGCAGGCCTTGTTCCTGATGGTTCTTCCTGCGCGGTTATAGCCTTGGTACACAGTCACGTATAGGAGCAAGTGTTTTCCTTCCCTCGTTAAAGTGGAAGGGAAGAAAGGGTTTCCACACTTTTCAGTAGGTACCAAGCTATAAACAGCACGGTTCTGATCCACCCTGTCCTGCTGCAGCCTTAGAAGAAAACCCAGAGCTCCAAACCACATCATTTCTGTATTGACTTGACTGAAAAATAAACTTCGGATAACAAAATCCAGGCATTTCCACCACAAACTCCTTGACTATACTTGGATTTGAGCATAATAACTAAAAGCAACTGTTCAAAACCAAGGCAAACCCCCAAATGGGCCTTTTCCTAGTGTGTATTAGACTGCAAAATGGACCAGCACTCAGCCCATGAGCAGAGGCTGACCGTGCAGTGCTGCCGCACACCGTGGTCACACACCCGGGCACTTCTCCTTCAGCAACAAAGGGAAAAGGACCTGCAAGGCACTGATGGAGCAGGGCAAAAGCTCATGAGTGGTCTGAGCGATGGCAATGTTGTGTGCCCATCATCCCCTCAGCAAGGTCTCCAGAGACAGCTGGTGTGTCTCCTTACAACAGTGCAGTCTGTACCGCAAAGCACTCCAGCTGTTGGGTAAAAAGAGTAGAGAAAAGCAAGCGGGGAAATACTGCAGTGCTGCCCACCCACTCAGCTGATGCACGGTCTTTGGTCCTTGCACCAACATCATCATTCAAATCATCACAGACTGGTTTGGGTTGAAGGGACCTCAAAGCTCACCCAGTTCCAACCCCGGACACCTTCCACTAGAGCAGCTTGCTCCAAGCCCCTGTGTCCAACCTGGCCTTGAACACTGCCAGGGATGGGGCAGCCACAGCTTCTCTGGGCACCCTTTGCCAGTGCCTCACTTTTCCCCCCTCCTCACTGTTCATAATGCCACATGCCAAGTGACATAGCTCTGCGCTGACACAGCTTGAAAGAGGAATGAATTCAGCCACGCATGCCGAGACCAAAATACAATGCTCCAGAAGCTGTGTACTTCAGGCCAGAACACACCTTACAGCCTCTTCCCACAGCAATTCAGTATCCTATAGGATATAACGTATACATTAGCTCCATCAATTGTTATTTTGGTCAGTGAACTGAAATAAGACAGATGCTCAAGTGAAGAATTCAATGTATATTTATTATTCACAGTTAATTACTATCTACCAAATGCTGCTGCAGAGTTAAAGGATTAAGTACATAGGCCTTTTTTTTTTTTTCATTTAAACACTGATTTTTTTTTTCTTTTAATATATATACACACACAAGACATATGTCTGCAAGGCTGCATGATATACACCAATTCCAAAATAAGGAAACAATCAAATGGTCCAGGTGTAGAATGCCATAGATTCCTTTTCCAATCACTTTACAAAGAAGGAAGAAAGTGAGTGACAGCTAGCAAGGAGAGGGGGAGAAAGTAATAACTCTACAGGATAGCTCTCTCTTTCATCTGCTGGAAAATGAAGTGTAAGGCAGAGTCCATGTCAGGAAGAAAACGTCTGTAACACTTAGTACAAAAAAAGGCACCCTCCAACTCAAGATTGCCCATGCTCAGGCAGGGCAGGAGGAGATCTCTGCTGCAGGGTTTGGATTCGTTGGTGGGGTGAAGGGAGCCAAAAAGGCCATCCAAAGGAAAAGTAATGCAACTGAAGATTGGCACAGAGAGCAGTGGGGCTCCGTTGCTTTCCTTTCTCTCCAATTTAATGTCACACTGCTCTGGTGGAGGAGCAAATGGCCCCAGAAAACACCATTCTGGTGCAGGGTGGGGGTTACAGTCATCACACAGCCTGCTGTGAATGGGGAGAGGGGTGGGATGGGAGCTACTTCAACAGTAACACTGACCTGAGGAGGGAGGAGAAACTGGAGAACAGTGATGCCAACCCCACATTTCAAGAGCAACACGACTGCAAATATTCCCTATCCAGGCCAAAGAGACAGGCTGATTACATGCATCACGTAGAGACATTCACTAAGAGCATAAAGTTTTCTTTTCAAGCACTATTTCTTGAGATTTCTCTGCATTATAAAGTTTTCCATCAAAGGAATGTACATTTTGTAGGACATCTCAGGACTATTATTCCTCAAATCCCCCCCCCCCCCTTAACCCTCCCCTCCCCAAAATATTCTTCCTCATCTTCCCTGGTCATAACTTCCCCCCCTTTCTCTTACTTCTTTTGAGGCTCCTGGTTGCAGCTCCCCACCTCTGAGCAGCACAAGTTGCCACTTGAATGCCTTGATTTACTTTCCTTGGAAGAAGGGAAGTTCAACAGTTAAGACAAATCTTAAGATTAAAGCTCCATCACTTGCTTGTAGATTCCTCTCAAGTGTGCATTGATAAAACCACCCTCCTTCACACCCCTCCCCCAAAAGTATTTATTTACACATAGGCAGGGAAAAAAAAAAAAAGTAGTTCTGGACTGTCCTTTTAACTTAAAAAGAATAAAAAAAGAAAAGAAGGGAAAGGCACTATGGAAAAAAGTACAGAATGTGCTCAACCGTACACCTTTAAGGAAAGAACACAACAAAAGCGCTGTCAGCACAGCATGAACAGACCCTCAGTTGTATGTTGGAGTTTCTCAAAGCAGCTCTGTGACTCCAAAGAAAAGAACAAAAAGCCACACAACTCTTCTCCCTTCCCCTGCTTGGAAGCTGCTGAGCTTCAGAAGAAAGTGCCAAAGGAGAAGAGACAATAAAACTTAAGATTAACACCTCATCTTTCCCAGGCAAGAAGAGCTGAATGTTGAAGGCAAAAGCAGAGACTGATGATTTTTGCTTTGTTTTAAAGGCAGGACTGTGGATTTGGTTCTTCTCTCATGTCCCTTCATGTCAAATGAAGACCGTTTGCAGAGAGAGAAAATACCAGCAGAGTTTCTCCCTTTTCCTTTTACTGCATGGCTAGGACTTTATATGGCATTAAAACTTCATGCACTGATGGACAGAGGGAGGGGGGGGAAACAAGAAGAGTGGGTGGAAGGGGGTAACCCAGGAGCAGCTGAGGAAATTTGTTATTTTCATTGTTTTCTCTCTCTTTTTTAAGGATAACTTTTGGTGTATAAGTTGAACTCTTCCCCCCCCAGCCCCTGAAGTTCCGTACTGAGTGAAGGAGGGTCACCTCCCGCTGAAAGGTGACTCGGGTTTTATCGCCGCGTGATTTTAGGTCACTGGCTGCAGTTAGGCTCTGTATGTGTATTTACTGCTTCTCTTGTTTCTTTAAATAATCTCTAATATTTATCTCTAGATGTTCCGGTTCACTGGGTTCACGTAGTTGCGTGGAAACATGCCCGTCTGTCCGTGGCAGGCTCCCTTCCACCAGTTGGGGTCAGAATTGTCAAGGACTTGGATAAAGTCTCCACGTCGGAAGCCCAGCTCTCCTTCCTCTTGGGGATCGAAATCAAACAGGGCCTGAACGTATGTCGGTTGCTGGAAGGGGAAAGGAAGAGAGACACAAAGTGAGAGTCATCCACAGTGCTCGAGAAACCTGCTCCTTCAGGCAGGAGTTTAACCTACACCAGGGTTAACAGTGAACATTTGGGCTGTTCCGTTTCCCTGCAAGCCAGCTTACAACATCTGTAACAGGAGGCTAAAAGAGGAAGGCATAGTCTACAGAAGACCTCTGAAAAAGTCAGGTTTCTGTGAAAGAGCAGAAATAAAGATAGCTGATGACTCAGATGTTTTCCTAGTGTTTTCCAGTCTTCGTGACCTACTGTAAAGCTGTATGTACTGCAATACAATAGTATTCTATTCATCCTGTGCTGACCAACTGACAGTGTGAATATTACTGATCTACCTACCACAGTGATACACAAAGCTTATCCTAAAAACTGGATGTTAGCATTTAGATTTTCCTTAAAACTCTCCACTATCAATAAATCCTGTCACAAAGTGTTCTCCCTGGTCAGTAAATACTTCAGTTCCTATGCAACAGCTAATGGTTCATTTCAAATAAACCTGCATCCTTAAAACCATGAGGTTAGAAAGGTATCTTCATGGCTGTTGTTTTCAGCCAGCTGTTTGCTCATCATCTGTTCATCACTGACCCAACTGTGCAGAGCCAGATGTTAATTCAGACCAACTGTGGCAAAGGGTGTGCGTGGCACTCGGTGAGCAGCATGAATTCCACCCCCTTTTTTCTCAAGCTAGAACTAGAATGCTGCACATGGAAGCAAAAGGATATATTCAGAATTGACAAAAGGTCCTGTTACATGCAACGTAATGTTCTGACTGCCCTGGGAAATGGAACAAAACAAAGGGCTAGATATCCACAAGCTGCTCTGCTGGCCCTTAAGAGTGGTTTTTGTTTCGCCTTAACACTGGCTAGATCCAAAGCAGAAAGCTGGAGATGTTGCATATGCTGTAGCCACCTCTTCAGGGAAGACCAGGACCTTCACTGGCTATGGAGTGGTACAGTTCTACAGTACAGAACTCTCCTGTCTTCCTATGTCCTAAACCAGGAGTAAACCCACTTTTAATTCACAGGAATAAGATGATCTTTCTGCAAGAGTATCCATAAGCATTCAGATAAGCCAACTGTTCAAGCAGCAACCATAATG